TTCCTGACCTGGCCTAAGCCCAAGCTGTGGGGCCCGAGGATGCCAGGCAGAGCTGCCTTCCCTAAACCCCCAGCATTGCTTCTTAGGGCCCTGGATGGAAGTTTTGCATGGGTGGGCCGCCCTTCACTCCCCTTCCTGCTGCAGCTACCCAGAGGCCATGCCCAGGCTGCCCTACAGCTCCCTCTGTCCTGCAGTGCAGCCCAGAGGTGGCAGGGATGGCAGCAGGGCAAGGCAGCTCAATCTGGGCGCAGACTTCAAAACCACATGCGTAATTAACACATTAACTGGATCTTCATTAATCAAGAACGTTAACTGCAATTAATTACCAGCCCTAGTTATACTGGTTTTTCCTTAATTTTAAACTAAATAACAGGGTGTGACTCCAAAGCATATTACTAAAGCTTCTAGTTTCCCTTTAAATGGGGAAAAGCCATGTGTTGTATTATATGTGATGTGCCACACTATCTGCACCTCCCTTTTACAAATCCTAGATCCACCTATGGAACCACATGCAGTAGGATGTGAGAAGGGCCAAGATATGACTCCTGTTTGCTGAATTGGAGTCTGACTTGACCTGGATCACAGAAGAAAACCTTTTTTAAATACATGGGGGTAAAAAGAAGGTTCCGGGTAATGTGGGGCCTCTGCAGGACACACTTGGAAATCTGGTGATCTCACCAGACAACAAAGCTAATCTATTTAACAATTTCCTTGCCTCCATTTTTCTGAACAGGGACCAGGTCATCCCCCTCACTGGGATCCCCGATGGTCCCAGGGGAGGTGCAGCCAGGCCTAGGGTCTGTGAGGACTTAGTCAGGGAACTTCTGGAGGGGCTGGACATGTTCAAATCAGCAGGTCCTGATAATCTCCACCACAGAGTGCTGAGGGAATTAGCAGAGGTCATTGCGGGACCCCTGGCACAGCTTTACAAGCACTCATGGTGCTCTGGTAAGGTGCCAGAGGACTGGAAAAGGGCCAATGTGGTCATTTTCAAAAAAGGGAGGAAGGAGGACCCAGGAAATTATAGACCTGTTAGTCTCACCTCGGTCCTGGGAAAGCTCTTTGAGAAAATTATCCAGGAGCACATCTGCAAGCGACCAGCAGGGGGGATCATGCTTAGGGGTAACCAACGTGGGTTCATTCGAGGCAGGTCCTGTCAGACCAACCTGGTGGCCTTCTATGACCAGGTCACAAAATCCTTGGACGCAGGTGTTGCGGTGGATGTAGTCTTTCTGGACTTTAGGAAGGCCTTCAACACTGTCTCTCACCCCATTCTCGTTAAAAAATTAGGAAATTGTGGTGTCGATGCCTACACAGTCAGATGGGTCGCCAATTGGCTGGAGGGCCGTACCCAGAGAGTGGTGGTGGATGGGTCATTTTCGACCTGGAGGGATGTGGGCAGTGATGTCCCTCAGGGCTCAGTCCTCGGGCCCGCACTGTTCAACATCTTCATCAGTGACTTGGACGAGGGGGTGAAAAGCACCTTGTTCAAATTTGCGGATGACACTAAGATGTGGGGAGAAGTGGGCACGCTAGAAGGGAGGGACAGGCTGCAATTGGATCTGGACAGGTTACAGGGGTGGGCAGATGAGAATAGGAAGGGATTCAATACTGACAACTGCAAGGTACTGCACCTAGGGAGAAAGAACCAGCACCATACCTACAGGCTGGGGAACTCCCCTCTTGTCAGCACAGAGGCAGAAAAGGATCTTGGAGTCATTACAGACTCCAAGATGAACATGGGCCGCCAATGTGGGGACGCAGTCAGGAAAGCTAATCGCACCTTGTCATGCATCCACAGATACATCGCAAGCAGGTCCAAGGAGGTGATGCTCCCTCTCTATATGACAGTGGTCAGGCCGAAGTTGGGAGTACTGCGTCCAGTTCTGGGCGCTGCACTTCAGGAGGGATGTGGACAACATTGAGAGGGTCCAGAGGAGGGCCACTTGCATGATCGGGGGCAGCAGGGAAGGCCCTATGAGGCGAGGCTACAAGACCTGAACCTGTTCAGCCTCCACAAGAGAAGGCTGTGAGAGGGGATCTGGTGGCCATCTATAAACTGGCCAAGGGAGACCAGCAGGCAATGGGAGAGTCCCTGTTCTCCCAAGCACTACTGGGAGTAACAAGGAACGATGGCCATAAATTGACAGAGAGTAGATTTAGGCTAGACATCAGGAGGCATTACTTCACAGTCAGGGCGGCTAGGATCTGGAACCAACTTCCAAGGGAAGTGGTATTCGCTCCTACACTGGGGGTCTTCAAAAGGAGGCTAGACAGACACCTAGCCGGGGTCGTTTGACCCCAGCATTCTTTCCTGTTCATGGCAGGGGGTCGGACTTGATGATCTGCTCAGGTCCCTTCCAGCCCTACCAACTATGAATCTGACAGTTCTAGTCAGTGCTGGTATATGCGTGGTATCCTGCAGCTATTTCATGTGAAACACTCAAACCAAGGTTTTCAACACACCAATGTCAAGTGCTTCTGAAAAACTCCTCCTATAACGAACTATAAAGAACCTCGGGACCTGCCAGGTAGAGAATGGCTGCTGTGATGTACCAGCTAAGTGGTCACAAGCCACCTTTGCAAATAATGAATGCTCAAATGCCTCCCACTTCTGGCACTGTCAGTACGGATTCGTGGCAACAGCATATGGGTTCACACTCTGAAGGTTCTAAAAAGTCAGAAGAGCTAAAGATCTAGATCAGGGGTCAGCAACGCCCAGCATGCATGCCAAGCATGGCACACGAGGCCGTTTTCCTTGGCACATGTTGGGGCCAGGGAGGCAGCAGCTGTTTGCAGCCTCCCAGCTGCAGTCCGCCCCAGGTCTGAGTAGCTGCTGCCAGCCGGGACTGCTCCCAGCAGGCAGCTGAGAGGATGGAAGCCCTGCTGCAAGCAGCCCAGGCTCCGTGGTTATGAGCAGCTACACAGAACCTGGGCCAGCTGCAAACATCTGCTGCCTCTCCGCCCTGGTGCCAGCCCCAGCTGCCTGAGCGGGGACAGCAGCAAGGGGCACAATCCTGCATGCTGCCCACGCTGCTCCCATGCACAGAGAGGAAGTGTGACCCAGGCAGCACGGAGCTTGTAGTAGCAGGCAGCTTCCCTGTGTGGCCCCTCTGTCTGCTGCTGCTCCGGGGTTGCACACACTGCGTTCCGGAGGGCCCAGGGGAGGGCAGCAGGGTTGGGAGCACAGTGTGTGCAACCCAGAGCGGCAGCACAAAGAGGGGCTGCACAGGGAAGCTGCCTGCTGCTGCAAGCACCGCACTGCCCTGGTCACACTTCCCCTGTGTGTACAAGAGTAATGTGGGCAGCACGCAAAGTTGTGCCTCTTGCTGCTGCCCCCGCCTGCAGGGGAAATGTGGCCAGGGCAATGAGGACCTAAGAGCAGCAGGCAGCTTTCTGCACCCCCTTCTGTGCCCTGCTGTGCCAGGTTCCAATGCTGCTCTGCAGAAGCGGCAGAGAGGGCAGCACTGCGGGGAGCATTGCTGGTATCTGCTGACTCCCCAGAGCCCAGGGTCGGGTCTGGGGCTGGGAGGCAGTTGGGGCCAGGACGCAGCTAGGGCTGGGAGGCTGCACATGCTTGCAGCTGGCCCAGGTTCTGAGTAGCTGCTGATAGCAACGGAGCCCAAGCTGGGGGGCAAGGGCCACAAGCAGGCCATCCTGCCATGTATCCCTTGCCCTCATTTTGTTTTTCTGGCATGTCGGCACTCCGGCACCTTCCAAGGTAAGCATTGTGGGCTTTTTCAGCACTCCGGACAAAAAATGTTGCCTACCTCTGATCTAGATGAAAGTCAGGAGGTACACCAAGAGCCTTTCCATGGAGTGAGAAGCATCTTCTCTGCTAGCCATGAAAACACAGTGCATATATTGCAAAGGAGCAAACAAAGACCCTTTGAAACAACATCCAAAGGACTAGTGTGGTGCTGCATTTAAGCTGTAGACTGCTCTTCCCATCTATGTGACTAATATGACACTGGAAATCAAGTATCCAACTCACGTGATCAAGCACTTGGCTCTTGGTGGTATGGTACTTTTGTGCAATTGCATCTGCCACAGCGTTTGTCCCCATGAACAGCGTGTTCCAGTTATGAGAGCTGGAGAGAGAAGAGGCCCAGTTCATAAGACCACTCACATATTTCTCATCTAGTGATTCCCTCTGAATAGCCCAGAGAAGACATTCTTTGTAACTTTCTGTTGGCAGTGAGGGTAACAAACCAAAAGGGAGGAAAGGTAGAGGATAAACTGAAAGGAAGACAGCAGAGAAGTGGAGCAACTAGGTTATACGCAACAGGACAGAGATACAAGGGATGCATTTCAATCAGGTTGAATATTCTTCACTTCCTCTCTTGAAAGTTTACCTGCTGTCACCTCGTCACAGCTTGGCAGGCAGTCACAGCTTCTATTGCTACTGCTGGAGAGTCAGGATATAGATCAATCCAATACAGCAGCTCATAGAAGCCAAAGTGCATTCAAATTTTTTCTTGGGGGGGGGGGGGGGGGGGGGGGGGCGCGGGGAGGAAGTGACCGGAAATGGAACACTAGGACCATGATGCAGGAGACATATCACACGGCAGCAACATTTAGCTGACACTAGTCTGGGATACAGTTCCCCTCTTGCAGGAAAAAAAATCCATGTGCAATTTCATTTCTGGCCACAATGGGCAATGGTGTAATTAATGCCATATTAAAAACAAAAGGTTCCAGCTATCCAATGTCACCTCCCTCCCTACCTGCCACTGCTTGCTTTCTCCTTGGAGTCTTTCTGCTTCTTGTATGAAGAGGATCCTGCAGCACTTGTGTTCTCTGCTTCTTTCTTTAGGGTAGATGGTAACACATGCAGCATTCTGCCCTAGGGGATGGAAAATACATAAGATCTACCATTACTGCGTGGATATCTATGAAAGGAAGAGACTTGCAGCTCCAGTTAAGATGAATCTGAGTGCATCAGGGCAAGAGTGTCATGCAATGTCATTCCACAACAGCCTTTCAACCTGAGGTGGAAGGGCCTTCTTCCACCCTCCCTTCTCTTGTTTGGCATTAAAGTGACTCTAAGCAGCACCTGTAGAATTTGAAAGACCATGGGCTCAGACTTTTTTTGCTCTGATAACAGAGTAGTTCCCTGCAGGGTTCCCAGCCTCCAGTAGGCCAGGGGGGTTTAAATCCAATGGGCCATGCAAACTGGTGCTGCTATATCACAGACTTAAGCTTTCCCAGGTGGAAAAACAGAATGGCACTATATTTACTCAAGGCACTGGAAGGGAGGAACCAAGCATCCTATTTAGCAGAGTACCTCCTCAAGAGTTTGCCCATCTGGTTTACAACACTGTGACTAAACAACCCTAAGCTGCATCCTGTGATGCAAGCTAGTGAAAGGAACTGTACCTGGAACACCCGCCCATCCACTTCTGCAAAGGCCTTCACTGCATGCTCAGGGATCATGTATGTGATGAAGGCAAATCCCTTGGGTTTCTTGGTCAGGCTGTCTATAGGGAAGTGAATCTCTGACAGAGGACCTGCAATAAAAAGGCAAGACCTCTCTGTGACATGCCACTGCTCAGAAATCACACTGACTTTGCAGAACAGAGATCTGTGCTGGCATCCTCCATACAAAGCCAATGGATGAAGGGAAGCGTGAGTACCAGAGCAGCAAGTGCAAAAAAATATGTACGCAGGGCAATCCTGGCTTTGCTAAAGAACGACAACCATGCACACAGCAATTCCAACCAACTGAGTTGGTTCTTTACCATATTTGGAAAATAGTTTCTCCAAGTCCTCCTCAGTTGCAGAGTAGGGAAGGTTCCTCACAAAAAGCCGCCCAGACTCAGACAGGTCCTCCTCTTCCTCATCATCCTTCTTCCTTCTCTGCCAGGGTTGCTGTTCCTTCTGTGCAAATTTCATCTTTGGTACCTGCTCCTCCCTGGACACCTCAATATAGCGCCCACCTGTCATAGACACCAGAGAGATGTCTTAAATCTCATGCACCTCCAAAGGCTGTGGTGAGCTCTGAACCCTAAAGCAATCAAAACAGGTCTCCTTCCCTATCAAAATACAGAATGGGCTTATGCTGCTGGCATGAACTTAAGAAACTCCACTGACTAAGTGAAACTGCACTATATCCCCTAGCGTAAATTTTGCCAACCCCACTCCCATAAAAAGAATGTTAGGGTCCTGGCATACCTTACATTTATTACACGATTAATAAGTTAACTGCACAATAAATTGCAACATGCCATTCATACAGCCAATTTATGGCACGAAAAAATGGCAAACCAGAAATAAAGATTAATGTTGAACATCTTTGTGACTGGTTTGTATCATGGATTAAATTGCATGTGTGGCATGTGATACAACTGCACTGTGCCCGATTCCTGGGATCAGGCAGAGGGCAGCTCTGAGTCCTGCTTCAGTCCCAATAATCATGCAATTGGGATTTGAGGAATTATACCCAATCTCCCCCCTCCCCTGGCCAAAAAAAGTCACGTTTTGCCATGCATGCCTGGCATGACAGGATGCATGATTTTTGGGATCGGGAATACAATGCTTTAGCCATGTCTAAGCTACCTATCTCTGTACTGTTCAGCATTCTGTCAGTCAGATACCACAGTGTGCAGGGTCTCACATGACTCATTTTCTGTTTCTAAGCCAAAAGGACTGAAGTTTTGGAAAATATCTAGGGTGAATCTCTGTGTGGCCCAGAGATCCCATGATTGCTGCTGCATACTCCTGCCCCAGTGATTCTTTTATAAGGAAGTTTAGGGCTGGTTATAGGAGATAACTAGCTGGGCAGCCCTTAGGCCTGGAGACCTCTATACAGCTACAGAAACAAGTGCAGTGCACACAGCTGTAGAACAAGAGTTCACTTATAACAAATGCACCAACATGCAGAGGGAAAGACTTTAGAAGCAGAAAGCAAGTCCCCAAATCCAGCTGATCTTGGATGTCTCTGCTCAAACTGCTACAGCAGGCCTAGTTGCACGAGTGCTTTTTGACATGCGTGGTCATCAGTCCATTTATTGGCGGATTAAAGCCCGACAATTTATTTCACTAACAGCTAGCAGGTGACTGCTCCCCTCCAATTCCAACCCAGATCAGATTCAAATTGCCTAGGCACAGGCAGAAAACTTATTCCTGAGACCCCTGTAACCCGCTCCCCCCACCCTGACTAATAGGTTAGTTTAGTAGTTCATTCTCTGGATTACCTTGAAATCAGCAGGCTGAGGACTCTAAGGTATCTCTGCTCTGTACCTTTAGCCTGTGAGTATGAGCATCATCTCCTACTAGAACAGAATCAAGCATGCCTTTCCTACCACTTTACCAGCAAAGGGGGTCAATTCAGCATTACAGCACCTATTATGTGTGGTAGTAATAAGCAACAAACAAGCCTCACCCATGTATTCATTGTTCTGTTTCAAGGCCTTCTGTACTTCTTCCTCATTGGTGAAGTCAACAAAGACATAACCTGGGTGGGGAAAAAGAGATCCAGCTGAAGAATACGTGGGGTATGCGAATTCCTTTGGCATCAACATTAATTACATTAATTAGCTAACTAAGAGCAAGTCAGGTTTTTCTTTATAGATTCCCATGTATAGCTTTTATTCACCATTAAAAAAGTACTCTGGCCTAAAAATTATACCTGCTTTCAGACAGAAGGGGCTGCTTTCTTAAAAGGGGTGACTTTTAAAGACCTCTTCTGTTTTGGCATGTACAAGTATATGGCCATAAATCAATCTGGAAGCCAGTCCCCAGTGTACTCTCTACACTTTTAAAGTGTCTCAATGAGCCTTTGAAGGAGTAACGGATGCACGTGAAAGGAAAACACTGCACAGCAGAAATTCACCGTCTTCCTGAAACTCACTCTGGTTTTCTGCTGTTCACACACACCATTCTCAGTAACCAGCTAGGGTCCCTAGTGCAAATAAGGTGAAGCTGAGGTCTGCACCTCAAGGAAAAAAAGCTTCTAACTAGAATATGACCAATTATTCTACAGAACAGAGGCATGAAACTGGTTTGGCCCCTGTGCTGGGTCCAGACCAATCTGGATCTACTTCTGGCAACAGAATGAGCAAGGTAAGGAAGCCACACAGGGTTAACACAGCCATTGCTTACCTCTTCCCAAACACCCAGCTCCTCCACTAGCCCCATGGGCTAGACGACACGGCTCCACAGGCCAGATCTGGCCCATGGGCCATGTTTGACATGCCTGCTATAGAGGACCACAGGAGAAACTAGTTCATTCTCCCATTTGGCTCTCCAAAGCTTGCAGCTGTAAGAAAGTGACACAATCCCAGCTGGAAAAGCACCTGCAACAATCTATGATGTGACACTAGCTTTATAGCATCATTCCTCATAAGGGTATGGACACACATACATTTGGAGCTGTTTAAAAAAAATGGGAGGCGTCTGCAGCTGTTGTGTTCTTATGGTTCAGACTTATTCAACCATAAGTGATACAGATGTAGCCAACCTCTCCAACTTTAAACTTGGATGAAGCAGTGTTGAAAGTTGGAGCAGTTATTGCATCTGTAGTGTTCCTGGCTTGTCCACACAGCAAGTAGACAACAACAGCTGAAGCCTTTTTTAAATGGCTCCAAACGTATGTGTGTCTGTACACCAGCTCTATTCTAAGGTCACATCTATGTTACTAAGTTGTGTTCGTGTAGCTGTATCTGCTAGGAGTTAAGAAAGAAACACACACACACACACTAGCTGATATTGTATCTATTTGCAGAGCAGTTATGTCCACTGATCGCTCTATATTAGTTGTTCTGAGCCTTTTTTAGACTCAAGGCATGCTTCAGTAGGCTCAAGGCACCCCTCAGTAAATTCTGTGAATTGAGTGGCACTCCATTTAAAAAAAAAATGTATTACAATGCCTACCTCCTTATAGAGGGGCCAGGCAGTGGGGCCAGGGTAAATGCCAGGCAGGGATTAAGCCTCAGCCTACACTTATCTGCTTATCTCCTCATACCTCATAGCACCCTTCAAAGGACCTCGCAGCACCATAGCTGCGAATCACTGGTCTATATAATTCAGAGAAATGGTGCAGTGGATAACTGACAAGAAAACACAACCCACCTCCCTTGACACATCTCCACTTGGGGGCTCTATCAGCATGGCCATATACCAGTGAGGGGTCTAGCGATGGCAAGCCACAAGGCAGGGGAGCCCAAGATGCACAAGAACTGAGGCACATACTAGCAATTTGGAACTGCAAGTGTAAAGTAGAGGAGAGAGGCATACAAGAGAAACAATCCTCAGGCATCTTCCAAGCACCAAATGCAACATCTGTTACCTGTCTTATTTCCATGCTTGTTTCTTGCTATCCGTATTGCCACAGGTTTAAGTGGCAGCAAAAATTCTCTAACATTTTGCTGCAAATAAAAGGAGGGAAAACAGAGCAACAATTTTAGTAACTGGCTTCAAGGGCTCAGCCAAAATTTTGAAAACTAGTTTTATACATGAGGAATGTACACTTTACCAAGTTTGAAGCGAAGAGTCAGGGACTGAGCAAGTTCAAGAGATGGTAACATTCCCACACAAACCACTTTCTATTCTCCCAGTTGGGATGAATACAGAAGCCCCCCATGGCAGGGGTGGGCAAATACATCCTGTGGGTGGTAGGTCCCTTGGTCCCCTGGCCCAGGTACAGTCTGGCCATGGCATGTCCTGCTGCCCCTGGTCACGCAGTAGGCTTGGGGCAGCTCCACAGCTGGAATGCCTTTCTAGGTAGCCCAGGGGGCAGGCAACTTTTTCCAGCTCCCACCGTTGCCAGTTCTAACCCTGTGGTACCAGAAGGGACCCGCATTGCACAGCCCTGACCTTGCATACCTGTGCCTGCTCTGGGCTTGCCCACCCAGGCTCAGGAACAGTGGCACAGGACAAAAGCTGTTGCTCAGCATAGGGGAAAGCGGCCCCTCCCTCTCCCATTGCCGGCAGTTCCATGTTGCTGCTGCCCAGAGCCGCTGTGGGGCTGCCCTGCGTCTCTGCTGCCATCACTGCCACCTCTTGGCTGCCCCAGGGGGCAGCGGGGTCAGCACAGCGCAGACACAGGACAATCCAGTGCAGGGTTCTGCAGCAGGGAACTGCTGGCAACGGGAAGGGCCACTTCCCCCCCACACCGAGCAACAGCTTTTGTCTTGTGCCGCCGCTGTTGAGCCTGGACAGATGAGACCGAAGCAGGGGCGGGGCATGCGAGGTTGGGGCTGTGCAGCACAGGTCCCTGCCTGTACCATGGGACTGGGGCTGGCAGCAGCGGCAGCCAGAAGGAGCTGCCTGCCACCTGGGTTGCCTAGGAAGGCAGTCCAGCTGCGGAGCTGCCCCAGCCCCGCTGCGTGACCAGGGGGCGGCAGGACACACCACGGGCGGGCAGTGTGGAGCAGGTGCAGGGCAGGGTGGCTAGGTCAGGGCTGAGCATGGGTGTCAGCTGATCTGCTCCAGCAGGGGCGAGTCCACAGTGGACACAGGGAGCGCTAAGGCTGCATGCTGCTGACAGTGGCACGCAGGTGCCGCAAGGTGCGCAGGCTCTGGGCTGTTGAGGGGTGGGTGCTGACAGGCTCAGGGGGGTGTGCATGAGCAGTCTCATGCACACCCCAGCATACCCACGAACCCTCCCCCACAAACGTACCCTTCCCCACACACATTACAAACACCACACCCACCCACACATTCCCCCACAAACCCCACACCCTCCCTCATACTGCCCCCTCCTCACACTCACACACACGCGCCCCTGGGAGGAGCCGCGCTGCTATGAACACACAGCCCAACACACATGCACCCATGCACCCCACACACACTCCACACTCCCTCAAGCCACCTTCCCCCTCCATACATCCCCACAAACACTTCTCCCCACAAACCCCCCATACCCACCCACATCCACACACACTTCCACACCCCACATACACACAGATACAGTCACATACATAGCAAACACCATTTAAGTCCTGACAAAGAGAGCAGAAAGGCCATGATGAAAGATCCACTTACCTCGGTGACGTTGAAAGGGGCACCACGCAGCTTCACAGTGTATAGCATGGTTGCTTCAGTCGAATCAGCCCAATTCTTCAGCTGAGGAGAGGAAACAATTGAGGCAAATAATGTGCTGTGCAGGTGGGAGTGGTGACAGCCCGATGCTACAAAGGTAGTCTTACTCAGAAAGCAGGGGAAAACAGCAGAGTAATTTGCCCACTTCCTGATCACAGGTACAGGGCAAGGATGCTCTTGAATGGAGAGCTCTTCCTCTGTTCCAGAAGCTGATGTGGGGTAGCAGGGTCACTGAGACACTTAGATACTATGAAGATTGACATGTACATGATAGGACTGCTACATGTGCCTGTGCCCTAGTGGTTAGAGCACTCTGCAGGGAAGAAGGAGATGCAGGTTTATACCTCTTGTGGATGAGGGGCAGCCTAGGGCTTGGGTGTTCCACTCTCTAGACAGCTGCCCTAACCACTAATTCATTGAACTAAAAGGTAGGCATAGATAATTCATAAGTGTTGACAGTGTGGGGAGGGGAGAACACAACTCTGTGCCACTGCTGGGCCCCCCTCACTGCCAGGCACTGGCTCCAGCCAGGCTGCAGCCTCACATCCCACTGAAGGCACTGAAATCATACTGCCACCACCACCCCCGGGCCCTGGCTGTGCTGCAGCTCTGTGCCCTGCTGTTGCTGCAGAAATTGCACCGCCACTGTCACCACCCTTGAGGCTTGGCTCTGGCTAGGCTGCAGCCCTAGGTCCCTCCATCAGCGTAGAAGTCTGGGGAAGGTATGTGCCTTCCCCTGTACATCACCTACGAAGGTAGGCAAGCCCACCTCCCCCATTCTGCTTCCAGCAGAATAGCAAGCTGCATTTATGAGCCAAAACCTGAAGTTCCCTGGTTTCATACTTGCCATCTAGGCACATAAAGCAAAACAGAATTTATCTATCAGGGACTTGCCAAATGTCATACAAGATGTCAGTAGCAAAGCAGGAAGTCTAAGCCAGGTCTCCTAAGTTCCCAGCTAGATTACCCTCTCTCCCTCCACCAAAAAGCACCATTCCATCTAGAATGGGGGTGGGGGTGATCCACTGCATCAGGGGAGAGGAGAGGTGCATCAAGCTCTTCTTACGGGAAGAGATTCCTAGATCTAATGGAGCTGGGCCTGAGCTTCCAAGTTCGCCTGGACATGCATTCACAGTTTAGCCCTGACTCTGACTGGGTTATACCTCTGATTTAGTGCCTTTCTTTTTCTCCTCTTCCTTTGATTTCCCTTGCTCTTTGATCTCTTCTTCCAGCATTGCTCCCTTTTTCATCTGGACGTCTATACCTTCCATGTTGCTAGGCTTCTCCTCTTCCTCACTACTTTCCTCATGCTGTTCACTGTCCTCCTCTTCCTCCTCACTCTCTTCATCCAAGGAAGTATCCTTCACCACCTTCGATTTCAAGTAATCCATATCAGAAAGCCCTTTCGTGACAGCCACCTTTTCTGTGGGGTGTCCCTTAGCTGTCAAGAAGTGAAAACAGAGCATTAGATACTGTGCACACAAATGCCTATATCCTCTTCCCACCATGGCAAGCAATACATATAGGCATGCAGGGGAAGACTTTAGGTAATGCAGGAGCAAACTCCTTCCATACATACAAGGCACTGGAGAATGGCCCTGCTTCTGTATTCCATTACCATTCCACTTTCCTTTCTAAGGCCTCTTGTTCAAATCCAGCCAGTCAGTAGGGGCTACAAGCTATTACCACTCTCTAGGCTGTATGGTCACATTTATTAGATGAGACAGTAATTGCAAACCAATGCTCTGTGGAGGTGGAACCCAATCCCATAAAAATACAAGTGCAATGAGCAATAAACTGCCTCAACAAAGAGGCTAAGCATTAAGCAGGCATCAGAGCATGAACTCTTTTCTTACAACTGAGGGTTTTTTAAATGGACTCAGTGGCAGAAACAAAATCCCGCTCTGCTGATATCTACACTATGCTTTCTGGGTTGTATATTTGGGCATATTTCACGAGCACTAAAACACTCTGGTGTTTAAGAACAAATCAGCATTATGTAACCATGTTGAAATAAAACTCTCCTGGGAAGACACTCTCCATGTTAGGGTCATCCACACTACAGTGATAAGGAAAGCCCCCAAAATGCAAGGACCTGAATGTATAAACACATGACAATGTTTGTTCAATGGATAGTAATTTGCAGAGAAATGGGAGCTTCAATAGAAGTGAAACTATCCACAAATTCAGCAACTATTTTCAACCAAAAAATTGGGGAAAGTTTTTCAAAAATCTTGAGAGACTTGATTCTATGACTCATTCAAATAGATCGAAAATGTTTCAGTTGAAATGTTCTCCAAACAAAACCTCTTTGACTATTTACTCCAAAGAGCGGCTTTCATTAAACAAACAAACAAACACACACCTTCAACAAAAATAAATAAAAGTTAAATAGGCTAACCCTAAACACTTACAAATGTTTGGAGAAACCCCAAAAGACACTCCCCCCCCCCCCCCCCCCCCCCCCCCCACCATTTTCTTGCTTCAATAAAAAAGCCCCAAAACGCCAAAACCCCATACCCCCAAGATATTTGTTTCCATGCGACTTGAACCCCTCTTTTCCCCAAATTTGGGAGTAAGCTACCAAATCTAAAATCCATTATTTCCCCAATTTTAGCAGACACTTCCAGCCCACAAAATATCTGAATCTTAAATTAAAAACTCAAGAAGCACAGAGGAACAAACACAGTAACAGTAATACACACATTTTTGCCCTGGATTAGCTCTGGACACAGCTTATGGAAGAGGTTTCTGCTTTTATGAGTAGAAACAAATTAGCAGCCTAGTAACTGAAATCTGAAGCCCTGGGCATAATCTGGACACCACTGCAGAGATCTGCATTAGAATCAGACTTCTGTGCAAATTCAAGCTACTTCTCTTCACTTAATATTTAGGGCTGTCCTGTTAGATGCTGAGCCCCCAATTCCCACTGACCCCAGAGGGGGTTGAAAAGCAGCCAGAGTTTTCCAGGAGCTTCATGGTACTCCACAGAATAAGCCTCCACATGAATATACCAATCAAGACGACAAGGAGTATCCAAGATAATTACTTTTGTTGCCTTTATCTTCTTCCTCTTGGAATTCATCCCCACTCTCTTCACTCAGGTCACTTGACTCAGATGAGTCGAAGTTCAGATAATCAGTTACTGGCTTCAATTTTCTTGCCTTGGGTTCCTCTGCCAATGTGTCATTGGCCCAAGTGGCTACTTGTGACCGTTTCTGGTGAACCATCAAAAACTCTCTGAACTCTTCATTTCCTTCCAGCTGTTGGAAAACCAACAAGGATTGAACATGGATATGTAGGACAAGGCAAATAAACTTTAGTTATCTCAGGAACCAGTGTAACTCCTGGCAAGTAAGATCACTGGGGAGGAAGGCTATATTTCTCCTGCATGGATTGCTTTTGCTTCCTTGGAAATGGGGACAATTATGCATCATTCAGGAGCTTATGTCTAGTGCTATGGGGTGTATCACAGAATCTAGGTAGACTACCTACTTCACCTGAATCAACAGCTCTGGAAGCAGCACTGCCTCTAATACATAACAGATATTAATGCTACTAACTGAACAGAGAAAAACATCAAAGCCAAATTATTAATGGACTTAAATACTTTGCATTTCTATACAGCTGCTTTAATCTAAGAAACATATGGCAATAGAAGCAAGCACTGACACGCATCTGTAAGGTCACTGTTCTACAAATAGGGACCCTGATACATACAAAGATTAAGCGACTTCATAAGCTGAGAACAGAACCCAGGGGTTCTGGGTCCCAAAATAGGGCAGAGGCTGTTCAGCAATGTCTATCCCACCCTCTGCTCTCATGGACAATCCCCACATACTGCTCATCAAAACTCACCTCTTTTAAGTTTCCGGTCACATTTTTCACCTTTTTGTCCTGAAAGAAGAAATGGCTTTTAGAAAGGCCATGGGAAAAAAGCACAAAAAGCTCAAGTGAGGTACCTCAGGTTACAAGCGAGTATCAAAGTAAAGGAGTAGGACATGGGAGTCCTGGCTCCAGTTGCCTTTTCAACCCACCTCACTATATTTACCTACTCGCTTACTGGAGAAAGATGGCACAACTTACCTTCTTTGTATTTGTGTGATCTGGATTTGCAGCAGGTTTGTTGGCTGGCTTTTGTGAGTGTTTGCTCCAAGGTTTGGGTTTTGATGGGTCTCCAAAAGATTTACAGACCTCTACCTGAAATCAATCATGAACAAGGAGCTCCCTTTTAAATTAGCCTTATTTTAATCATTTCAGTTCCATTAAAACAGAAAAACCTTAGATTGGGGCCCATTTCAGATACCTGACAAACTGTACACCCTAAAGCTGTGTGTAAAAAGAAGCTATGGGAGTTCCTCCATTGGAGTTTTCCAGAAAAGGCTCGAATGGTTTAAAAGTAACAAAGCCTACACCTGCACAGGGAGTAGGACTGTGTCCCTAGAGATCCCATTTGAACGTTGACAATTCCATGGCTTGAAAAATATCCTAAAACTGTTCCATTCTCCATTGCCATTCACTGCATCCCACAGAGACCAAGAGAAAACACTTGATCTGAGCCTTCAAGAGGCCGAGAACTACATTTTTAAAGTGCTGGAGTGATGTGTCTGTGGTTCAAGAAACATGTGAGAGGAAAGGATTTTTGCAGATGACATCTTTTATTAGACCTATTACCTGGTTGGGATAGATGGTTGGAAAACAGTGCATCTGCTGCATTTGAAAGTTTGTCTAACTCTATCCCACCCAAGCAGCTGGCCCAATAAAAAGGTACAACCCACAACAATGCTTGTATTTTTAAAGATATTTCAATGCAAATGCAACTTTGAGAATTAATTATTATTCTGTCTTAAAATTTGAGATGTTCAATCAAACTAGCGTTGAAATTACACTGGTACAGAAAAGGGGAGTGCAGACTAGTTCAGTGATGATTAGATTTCTACTATACACCTGAGTTAGGCTGCCCTTAAACACCAGCTTCACCAAAACTAAACAGATCATTTGAAAGGTTTGTGTGTTCTTGCTTCTACTCACAGGTCAGAACCTGCAAGATCTTCTCAGCATCTCCATTATCTCCCTAAGAAAAGGAACTGATACAGTGAATGGAAACAAGATGCTGGAGGGCTGCTATATCAGCAGGTTACGAGCCCTATATGGCACAGATCTTCTTGCTCCCAGCCCTCATACATAAGCATATTCCCACTGCTAGGCCACCTCTGGTTTATGAAAGGCAGAGGAATGGGGATATTTTGCCAACCACGTGTATACACTGAGCCATGCCAATTTCAGTGGGCAAATTACTCAGTGAGTGGCCTCCACACCGTTCCTAACCACTGCCAACCTGCAAAGTAACAGAAAGTTTGGCTCCATAAATGCAAATAAGGGCTAACATAGGTTGTTGGACTGCCTGAGAATCAAGTAATCAGCGTAGACATCAGATCTTACTATGCCAGCACAATCAGTTGGGTTTAGTAAAACACTTCTTAATCCCTGAACACCCACACACAATGAGCACACCCTGAAGCACAAAATAGTTTCAACTGCCCATTTTTCCCCAAGGAAAAAAAAAAGAGAAACTTCTGCGAACTTTTTATTTAATTTTAACACCAACTCACTGTGATCCTGGACGTGTCTATGAAACTCCTGTGGAAATGGTTCAGCGCGGTTTTGGCTTCATCCTCAGACTTAAAGCCAACGAAGCCAAACTTGCGGAACTTGCCGTCCTTTGTGAACTTCAGGCAGCAGTCGGTCAGCGTACCAAAGGCAGCAAACAGCTTCCGGAAGCGATCTTCCTTCATCTGCAGGAAAAGGGCAGCCACCAGGGAGGCACATCAGCCATACAGCTTCCCCCACAGCCTTGGAGAAAATCTGGAGAACAAAGTCTCCATGCCAGAGAGGTCAGAGTTTAAATTGACAGTGGATCTACCTGGCATCACAGACTGACACAAGGGAAGCAACCCTGGTCACCTCAGCATCAGGGTGACCTACAGGGCAGTGATGGCCAAACCCCCCTCCCCGTCCCAGTTGCTCAGGGGCGTCCTGCAAGGGTTTCAGGTGCCTGGCAGAGCACGAGCACCGGGCTGCAGCGAAACCACAGGAGTCCTGCTAGGCGCGGCCCGGCCGGAGCCGGGTGCTCCCTACATGGCACCGAGGTCTATCTCCCCTGCTGCGGACAGCTACGCCCCCGCGCGGCACCCCCCTCCCAAAGCACGTGCCCAGATCCCGGACCCACCCCATTCGGCAGGTTTTTCACGATAAGCCGCGACATGCCGGCGGAGGGTGGGGGGCGGGGGAGCGCTGCTCGCAGCCCCGCTCAGCGAGCACGCCGACCCCTGGGCGCCGCCATCTTGCTCGTGGGGAGTCACGTGATCCACTTGCCAATGCGCGTGCGCAAAAGTGTTGTAAGCCGAGAGCCTCTCGCTACAGTGCTCCCCCCGAGTTGCGGCGGCAGCGCATGCGCAAAGCAGGCAGGACCCCACGGCGGCAGGCGGAAGACGAGCACCAGAGGGCACCGCCAGCCAGAGAGGTGAGCCCGGGTGGACCCCAGCGCGCATGCGCGAGGGGAGGTCTCACCCCCCCCCCATACATATAGGTATTAGTAAAGTGCAGTGATATTAATATATTTGCAACTTATTTATTGCTCTATTTACAATTTTAAAACAACTTGGAAGTCTACCAGTGCCTCAATCATTATAATAAAATACATTCTAAATACCTATACATTTTGGCATTTGATTTTTTTGTGTTTTTTACCATGGAAAATCAGAGCTCCCCCTCCCCCTTCACTCACCAGGACACAGGTCCAGCTGTGGCTGTCTCCCCCCACCCATCCGTGGACTCGGCAGGAGGGGCCGGCTCCCCACTGCTGCGTGCACTGCTGGGGTGGGGCATGCAGAGCACTTTGCCCCCCCAGATTTGTGCATGGGGCGGGTGAGGGCCTGGGCTTCCTGTCCTGCTGCCACCTCACCACCCTCCCCAGGGCCTCCACGGCTTAGTGGGTGGGACCCAGCAAAGCGGAGCGTGGCCAGGCGCTGCCACTGTGAGACCCGCGCCGCCATGGCAAAGTGCCTCTGCCACCACCCCACCCCTGCTGCTGGGCAGGCAGGGGGCACCTCACGGTGGCAGAGCGGGGTTCCCAGCAGCAGCAGCATCGAGCTCCCTGCTGGGTCCTGCTCACTGGGCTGCCGAGGTCCCAGGGAGAGGGCAGCAGGGCAGGGAGCCATGCCCCCGCTCCCGCCACATGCACAAGTCTGGGGGCATGTGTTCCCCCATACCCACACCTGGGAATGCGCACAGCAGCAGGGAGCCACCCCGCACAAGCCGCTGAAGGCTCTGTCCCATTCCTTGCCCGGGCCACGTGGCCACACATTCAGTCCCAGGCCCCAAGCCCTACACATCCCTGGTTGGGCAGCAGCCCCAGCCCTGCCCAACTCCCTCCCTCACTATGGGAGTCTCAGTTCCCCCTGACCGTGCGCCAGTTTTACCTGCTGGAGCTGCTCTCCAAACTGCAGCCCCTGCAGGCTGGAATTCTACCAGTCTGCAAGGGCAAACCCACCGTTTCCTGCATTTTTCTCCTTTAAAGGAGAAAATTTGGGGTTTTCTCCTTAAAATGAGAAAACCTGTGTTTTACCATGTTTTATTGCGGGAAACAGAAAACCCAGATCCCTGCTTATAAGTCATGTCCCCCAGCCCCTTAACCATTTTCATTGCCCTCTGCTGGACTCTATCCAATTTATCCACCTCTTTTCTGTAGTAGAGGGCACAAAACTGGACACAGTACTCCAGATGTGGCCTCACCAGTGCAGAATAGAGGGGAATAATCACTTCTCTTGACCTGCTGGAGGCGCTTCTACTAAAGCAGTCCAGTATGCCGTTAGGCTCTTTTGCAGTAAGGGCATACTCAGTAATATCTCTGTACTGAATAGAGCACCTGAGCTGCTGGGACTGGGATGCCCAGAAATCGTACCTACTTCTCTCCACCCTAGAAGTGTTCTGTCCTCATATCCCTTCTCCATGCTATTTGCAACAGGACTGGAACCAAGAGAGGTTTCCTATTTCTGTTGGTGTGCCTTGGGACTAGTAACAAGCACGAAGGGGGCTGTGGGATGGGAGGAAATCTCCTGCGTAATCCATCCACTCTCAGCTTTCTGGGCTCAGTGGCCTTATCACCGCTCCAGCCATATTACCTGAAATGTAATCTGTCCGTGGGCGGCAGGTTCTCAGGAGCCTATTAATCAGAGTCGCCTTTCTGCCCATGCACAGCTTGGGTTACATATAGCTAGGCTGATCGGACGTAATCCATCGGAGCTCACTGTAATTATGCACAGCAGCACCCTGGCTTGTCAAAAGCAAAGGCCGGATATACAGAGAGAATGAGCATCTTGTGGCGAGAGGCAGGCACAGAGGGACAGAGCGGGAGCTGGGGAGAGGGGTGGAATTACAGAAGAACAGGGCAGACAATGGCTGCAGTCAGGGAGAGGAAGATAGTGTTGCTAGCAGCTGCAGGCGACTTGCTCTGCCCCATTAGTTCCTGCTGCCCCAAATAATCTCCCACACTGCTCCATTGCAGCAGCAAGAGCTTGGCCCCTGTATGTGTGTGCAGTTCTCTCTCTACTGCTGTGCCAGGAATCTGGGAGGGGTGAATGTCCAGTGAGTCTAGGGCTCATTTGGGACTGTCCCCTACTCTGCCACAGCTTTCCTTGTGATTTTGGACAAGTCTCATAGGAACACACCTAAAAAGAAACATAGGTATTCCAACACTGAATATTGCTGTGTCAAACTTTAAGGGATTTGGCCCTGAGGTAGAGTCCAGAACCCTGTGTTAGGTGCCTGCACATGCCTGCAGGGCCTGGGAGTGGTAGGCACCTCAGGATGGGGTCCAGATCTGTCCAGTCTAGAGCTAGCCAACAGGGGAGTGCAGAGGAAAGTAGAGTGTCTGACTTCCCACCCATCCCAGGGGTTAAGGTGTCTTATTTAGGCCCACAGGAAATCACTTCCTTACCCTCCATTCATGTTCAGCAACCTAGACCCCTCTCCTAAGGGAAGGTGCTCACAGCCTTTCTTTCAGAATGCAGAAGAGCCACTGCAGCCATCCTCTGTTATACAGGCGCCTGCCATTCAGGGCACACACCTGGGGTGTGGGAGGCAGAAGTAGAGCTTCTTCCTCAGTTGAGGGGGTTCAGACCCACACCTCCCACATCCTAGGGGAGTGCTCTACCAATGGGCTATAGATGAGGCTGAACAGAGGCCTGCTTCACCCTCTACTGTTGAACTTCTAGAAGAAGTACCCAAAAAAATACACCAGTAAGGGGGACTGGTTTCTGACTATAGGTTGGTGATCAGGCCACTCGCTGAGGATGGGAAGTTCTGAATTCCAGGGCCTTCCCCAATGGCTGGTTATATCTTTTACAGGAAAGAACAGTCAGACAAATTCCATAAACAGTCCTTGAAGCAAGGACTGGCACCCAGGACTACCTGTGATGGGGTGAGTGCCCTAACTAATAGAGTTCAGAGGCAAATTTCCTTTTGTGCTCACTCTCAGGCTCAGCTTCAGACAGAAGGGGTTGTGGGCATCCTTCCTCACCTTCCCAGGTAACATAGAGCCAGTACTGAAGGCATATTCTGAGGTGAACAATACATACTTGACCTGGCAGGGGAAATACCATGATCATCGCTAAGGCGGTTTTCCAATCGCTGGGGATAACCGCTTTTCTGGCATGAGGTAGTACCCATGGGGGTAATGTATAAACCTCTCACTTTCTCTTCCAGTGGGAAGATCTTGGCTTCACACCCATTTTATGGAAATGGGAGACTCCTCCCTGGCTTGCTCCTGCAGCCATATAGCTGAGGGCAAGCGAAACTCGGGGGCACCCAAACCCCAAGCCTCCAAGCTTGGGCTTGTACATAAGATGCCTGCCAAATGATTTGGAAACATCTGAAGCTCCAGGTAGGAGGATGTTTGCCAGTAGTACGACCACATATGGTTCTTGAATGACTCACGGATTTGTAATTGATTTGGCTGATTTAGCTTGGAACACAAAAAGCTTTCCTTAAAAAAAAATGCAGGTGCAAATACCTTCTAGTTTTGTTTCTGTTGAGTGTGTTTTCTCTTTTGGTGGGGGAAAAATCCAGTGGCCTTTGGAACCCCTCTGCCATCAAGCTTCTCCAGAAGTCCCAATTCAGCAGGCTGCATTAGGCACCACATTTCAGCTGTGGGATAAGCTGGCTCCCCACTCTCCTCCCCCAGCTCAGTTAACTCAGATCTGCCTCCCTCACTTGTCACATTACTTGATCCATCAGAGGCAGGAACCTCAGAGCACGGTCTCCATTTCCTACAGAGCCCCAGATAAGGGCATAAATAAATTTACGGCCATTGATTCCTCCTCTGTGCCTTGCCAATGCCGGATGCAAACAATGGAGTCAGGACTGAGGCACCTGTTTGCAGATAAGGGGACTGCAAGGAACAGGTGGCTGCTGTGTTGTAACTGAGCCTGGGGCTCCAAGCATGGGCAGGCATGACTGCTGCACGAGGGCTCTTAGGATGCAGGGGGAGCCTGCTCCACTGCAACTGGAGGTGACAAGCAAACGCTGATGCACTGCTGAATACAGTGAAAAACCCTCATAAATATGAGAGCAGCTACAGCATTACATAATAGTACTTAGCTTTCATGTGGTGGTATTCAGCAGTACATTCCAAAGCACCTTGCAATGGAGAGATTTGCCACTTTCCCACATTTCACAGGTAGGGAAACAGAGAAGAGATGTGCCTTATGCAGAGTCACCGAATAACACGAGGAGGAGAATCCAGGTTTCCTGGATCCCAGTTTAACAATTAATTCACTAGATTTTGCAGAATTTACAGAAATGTTGCAGTTACAAAATTGTCCTCATACAAGAAGAATGATGTTTTTTAATGCAGCTCAAAAATCAAAATCTCTTAGATCAAGTTCTATAAGGGAAAGACACTGTATAACCACAATGAACACATTTGCATCCCCTTAATGATACAAGAGGGACATAACTGTGAGACACTTAGGTGGGTACGAAGCTGGCTGAGGGTAGGACTCAGAGAGTCCTAATGAATGGATCTGTGCTGTCTTGGCAAGAAGTGGCCAGTGGTACCCCTCAGGGGTCGGTGCTTGGTCCAGTGCTATTCAACATCTTCATCAATGATTTGGATGTGGGGGTGAAGAGCTCACTGGCCAACTTTGCAGATGACACCAAGTTATGGGGAAGTGTGGTCATGCTTGAAGATAGCTTGCAGATACAGGTGGACCTAGATAGGCTAGCAAGTTGGGTGGATCAGAACCAGATGAAGTTCAACATCAAGAAATGTAAAGTGCTACACCTGGAGATGAACAATCCCCTG